GTTTCGTGGAAGACAATTTTTCCAGGGTGCGGGGTGGGGATGGTTCAGGCGGTAATGTGAGCGATGGGGAGCAGTGGGGAGAGGCAGATGAAGCTTCGCTCGCTCGACTGCCACTCACCTCCTGCTGTGTGGCCCGGTTCCTAACTAGGGTTGGGGACCCCTGATATATATGTATATGTAACCATATGTATATGAATGGAGTGTAGAAGTATTTTGAGCCTTCGCAGAACTCAGGTTGATAGCTAGTATATGAAGGTACACTTTCCCAAATGTACCCATTAGTCAGCTTATTGATAATTGGTATTTAATTGCATTATTTTTTATCACTCTTGTCTCATGGTAAAGTATGTGATATAAAATTCAAAATGGTTTCTTATTTGTTGTCAGTACCACCATGCTAGGCAACTGTCACTTGTATTTAAAATGATTTTGCTGTTTTGATTTATAATAAAATTATGCTTTCAGAAATCCTTGGTTATTTTGAAAGTCTGCACATTGTATTCTCTTGTGTCAAGCCTTTAATTAACTTCTTTGTTTGCAAATTATTGACTGTATCTGTTCAGACATTTCATCGGATCTCTTTGGCATAGTTTTCTGTGGTACCTGACCTGCTGCTATTTTCTTTTCCATTTTTCTTTTCTTCAAAAACGGGATATTGTAGTTTAGATGTTGCATTAGTTTTCTGGGGCTTCCATGATAAATTACTAAAAATGGGCTGACTCTAGAATAGTAGAAAAACTTCCCTCACAGATCAGGGGGCCAGGAGTCTAAAATCAAGGTGTGGGCAGGGTCATGCTTCCTCTGAAAGGAGAATTCTTCCTTGATTCTTCCATCTTTTGGTGGCTCCTGGAATTTCTTGTCTTTTGACAGCATAACTCAATTTCCGCCTTTGTCTTCACATGGCCTTCTTCCCCTCTGTGTGTCTCTGTGTGTCCTGTCTCCTTCTTATAAGCACAGTAGTGATTGGATTAAGGACTCCCCTAAATCAAGGTGATTTCATCTTGATATCCTTAACTAATTACATTTGCAAAGATCCTATTTTCAAATAAGGTCACATTTTGATGTTACAGGTGGACATGAGTTTTGGGGAGACACTTCATTCAACCTAGTGCACATATAAAGGAAATATTTACATGATTTAAGCTCTGAAAAGGGACAGGAAGCAGTACTAAATCATGTCAGAAACAACTTTGCATTTTGCAGGAATGTTATTTTGGGCCACTGTAGTCTGTATGCCTTCAGCAGTGTTCTCTGGATAGAGGTCTGAAGTGAATATTCGTTGGCTGCTAGGGCTCGGAACATAGGCTCGGAACATAGGCATGCTTTAAAAGTGCTTTTTAGCAAAACAACAACAACATCAAAACAAATAAAACAAAACAAAACAAAAGTACCTTTTAGCAAGCTATGAATGAATGGCCTCCTAAAATATATATAAGACTCTGTGGTCAGTTTGAGTGATAAAATGTGAGTCTGTGGTACTTTAAATCGACAGAATTTACACGGAGTGATAGTATAGTATAGTAATAAAGAGCAAGGACTTTAGGAGTTACACTCCCTGGATTCAGATTCTGCCTCTGACCCTTATTAGCTGGGTGAATTGTGGTTAAATTGTTGAGCCTCTATGCAGTGTCTCATTAAAATAAGTCATAATACCGTATCAATACGTGTAAAGTGCATAGAAATGCCTGGCACATAGTATCAGTAATTGCTCATTTAATGTTCGCTGCTGCTGTTTTCATCATCATGATGATGCCCTTTGTTTTTCCAGTAGTAAGGATGAATTTGTACTGATGAACTCATGGATTCCTACCCAGCATTGCCTTAGGAAAGATGTGCTTTTCAGATTGTTTGCTTAGAGGTTGGGAGTAGTAGAAAACACAGGATGAGATAACTGGTTCTGGTTTCACTAACAAGTACACTAAACCTGAATAGCCATTTTCGTGATATAGAACTTGCCATTTAAAAAAATATAGTTATTTGGCTGCGTGGGGTCTTAGTTGCAGCACATGGGATCGTCATTGAAGGCATGCGGGATCTTTAGTTGCGGCATGTGGGATCTAGTTCCCTGACCAAGGATCGAACCCAGGCCCCCTGCATTGAGAGCGCGTAGTCTTAGCTACTGGGCCACTAGGGAAGTCCCTAGAACTTGCCTTTGACAAAGTCTTCTAATGAGTCTTCATTTATTGTACATCAAGCAGATCCCCTTTCCTTTATGTCATGAGGTAATCAACCTGACTTTTAATGTAAGTTCATTAAACGTCTTATCCCTGAAGTTAACCTCCCTAAAGGATCTTATATAAACTTTGAAGTTGTTTTTCACATGAATAGACTACATGTTTTAGCAGGCATTTCAGGATGTTTTGGAAGTAATCATCTACTAAAGATTTGTTGTGGGAATGTGGTTTTCCTTCCCCTAGGTTTTTAATGTTCCTCCTAGAGGTATATGTAACTATTAAGACATTTTTGAAAACCACATTGAATGATAATACTCTTCTGCTTACCTGAAGCCTCTTGAGCAGAATCTTGCAGTTTACTGAGCTTGTTAGATTTTAAATAGATTATTAGAACTTACAGAAGATGAGACCAAATATTAAACATACTGCCGAACAGGTTTTCGACTCTCTCCTGTCTCTCCCCGGCCTGTTTTGCTGATCTTTTAACATTATGTAAAGAAGGAAACTGATTCTCCTTCTAATGCATGCATGTATTTTCTCAGTGAAATGTAACATGTGTTTAGGTGTTATTTTATATAAGGAAACCTAGGCTTAGAGACATGGAAGCTGTTCAGGATCGCATCTACAGAATGATGAAGGTGATACTTGAATATGTGCCTTTCTAGTTCTTTTCCATCATGTGCTATTGCCTCTCCAAATTAGAAAGCTCAGACAACTATGTTCTTGTTAACAAAATATTTGTTGTATACAGAGAAAAGAGTAAAGTATATAAGTGTAGCTCCAAGCTTAAACTCATGTCTTCCACTCTTTGACCTAAAAATGCTTCCATGTTTAGTTCTGAGTATATGAGGATGGAATAGAACTGGATGGGATGTGTGTGTGTGTACAAATGAAGGGTCCATTGAGGAAAAATGGATTATTAGAATGGTGTAGTCCCTGAAGATGTGTACTGTCAGAGATTGTCCTGTGCAGTTCCTTTATTTGTTTATCTTTAGCAGAAAGATTCATACCCAGGATAGCCATCATAATTTGAAAGCTTGTGTAAAGTTTTGCCTCTAACTAGGTCACAGACAGATCTTTTAGGCAGAAGAATGCTTTTCATTATAGGGACCTTCCTAAATGGACTTCACTGCTTATTCTAGTCTCTTCTCACAGTTAAAGATGTTGTGGGAAATTAAAAGAACTGTTTTTTTTCTTCTAGATTAACTGCTGAAGTACTGATCGAGTTCTGTGTTTCTTCAATGAGGAACTACAGGCTGATCTTCTGCCATAATCTCAAACAGCCATAAATGACAAAAGAATGCTTGCTCAGTGAGGGTAGCTGGTGCAGAAACCATTTTTTAAACTTAGGTGTTTAAGTACTCAAAGGTAAGTTTCCACAATGGTAACTATCCCATACTTATATATCCACAGAGATTTTGGAGTTTATCTACTATTGCTGCTATTGGATTATTAACTTAAGGTTTTGTAGTTATTAGCTGGCATCAGATGTGTTAAAGAATGGATTTTGCTTGTCTAAAACTATTTAAATTTATGGCATTTTGCTGCCCCTAAGTTAATTTCTACTGTTTCTGTAAGTTAGATGGATTTGTTTTCCAGTCACGATGTCTCTTGATCCAGTGGGTACACCTGTTACACATATGGACCTTATTTGTATAAACTTTAGAATATTAAGCTTGTTTTTTTTTTTTTTCTGCTCTGTTACGTTTCTCTTGTAGTATGAAAGGAATTGTTTCTCTGAGGTGATGAAAAAAGCCCATTTTGTTCATTATCAACTTTTGAAAAAAGTTTTCCTTTCCTTTAAAAGTACTTCTTTCCCCACATAAAATAATAAATGATTATTTTATTTTTATTTATTTATTAAAAAATATTTTTTGGCCATGACGTACAGCTTGTGGGATCTTAGTTCCCCGACCAGGGATCGAACCTGTGCCCCCTGCAGTGGAAGCATGGAGTCCTAACCACTGAATCTCCAGGGAATTCCCATAAGTGATTATTTTAGAAAATGAATTTTTTTTTGAGATTACTGTACTTGTTCTTTGATGCTTCATAAATTGGAAACATTGTTTTCTCCCACTGCTTCTTTATTGATCACAGTTCCTGCAAAGACAAATTATTTATTTCTTCTGAACTAGCCAGGCTATGGAAGTTTTTCTTTTGAATAATTATGAAACAGCAGGATTGATAAAAGAACATTTTCATTGAAGGTTGATGCCTAGAACTGAAAAATTTCCTTTGTTTATAAAAACATATTATGGCTGCTCTGTCATGTAGAAATAAGAACTGGTTAATCTTGTCCTTATTAGCCCATCATTTTTTAAAAAATGATTCTCCCCTCTTTGGGTGCTTATGAATTGAGTGGTTAGATGACCTTCATAGAGCAGAGTCCAGAAATGATTAGGTTTGGCTTTTTAATCATGTCGTTAATAAGCTTGGTCAGTAAGGTCCTGTTGGAGCAAAATTTGCCCCTTTCTTTGTCTTTGAGATATTAACGTCCTCTGCGAAGTTTAATGATCAGTTTTGCCATTGTTTGGTAAATATACAAACACCATTGTTTGGTAAATATACAAACACTAAAGGGAACATTCAGAACTAACTTCACATGGTAGAGAAAATGCGTAGATGATTGTATTGAGCTTTATTTGTAGAACACACTATGGGCCTGGTAACTGGAACATATTTAATAGACGAGAACACCTTCAGGTGTGAAGCCTTTTTCTTTAATGTATTTAGTCATATTGCCACCTGTTAATCATTATAGTCTTTTTTTTTTTTTTCTTTTATTTGGCAGAAAAGACAGCTTTGATTTCTGGCTGCAAAAAAGATATGAGGAAGAGCTCCTCCCCTTCCTTGAATAACTGCAACTCCGTTCTTGCTAACAAAATATTTGGAATTCCACTTGATGAGCTGCAGCAGGGAGGACATCCAGACAATGAGGTTCCGTTCATAGTCCGCCACGTAGTGGACTATATTGAGGAACATGGTATACATTTCCTTACTTTGAGGGCTAGCCTTTGTTTTAATAAACACAACTTATCCATTTTTGACCTTGGATTTTTTTTTCGGTATTCAATGTCCAAAATATAGTGAGGAAAACAATGGAAATTCTTTTTAACATTTTAGTGTGTCTTTATTACTTAAAAACCATGTACTCAGAAATGCCCAGTTTAGAGCATATTTTAGTGGGAGGGGTGATAGTAATATTTTTAATGGATATAAGGGGGTGGGATAAAATAGAATATCCCTCAGAACAGAGATAGTATACGTTTCTAGATGTGTAGTTTGAAGGTGGTTAGCCCAATCAGGGGAGCCAAGAAAGGCTTTCCCAAAGTATGAATATTTTAAGTTGATTGGAGAATGAATATATATGGTAGTTGAAGTTGAAGCTTATTTAATTTTTGCCTTGAACTAATGTAGGAGGTCTGGAGCAAGAAGGACTTTTTCAAGTCAATGGAAATGCTGAGACAGTGGAGTGGCTTCGGCAGAGATACGACAGCGGAGAAGAGGTGGATTTGGTTAAGGAAGCAGATGTTCCCTCGGCTATTAGTCTTCTTAGGTTTTTCCTTCAAGAACTTCCTGAACCTGTTATCCCTGGCAGTTTGCATATTCACTTGATGCAGCTTTCTCAAGGTAACATAATTTGAATCTTATCAGTCAGTTGCTTAACGTTTAATTTCAAAGTCTTTACCTTTTAGAAATCTTGACATGTAAGCAGTAATTATAGTAATTCTGAGATTAATTTCTTAAGTTCCCATTTGGGGACATATGCTCTTTGGGGCTGTATTATCTAGTTAAGGGAATTGCAACCTCTTAGATCCCTGTAGTGCTATTTACTTTTTATGATTGGTCTTAGTAAGCCTAAGATACATAGTGATAAGGAGGAGGAAAGGCAGGAGACAAGAACAAAGAGTAGGAGGGAGGGCTTCCCTGGTGGCGCAGTGGTTGAGAGTCTGCCTGCTGATGCAGGGGACACGGGTTCGTGCCCCGGTCGGGGAAGACCCCACATGCCGTGGAGCGGCTGGGCCCGTGAGCCATGGCCGCTGAGCCTGAGCGTCTGGAGCCTGTGCTCCACAACGGGAGACGCCACAACAGTGAGAGGCCCGCGTACCGCAAAAAAAAAAAAAAACGTAGGAGGGAAAAGGAAGAAGAAAAAATATATGTGTGGCAGAGTGACCCATAATAGTCAGTGTTGTTGGTTAGTGGTGATGTTACTATGTTTATCCTTGGTTTGATAGAACATCCTAGCAAAAACCAGAAAAGACAGCTTTGATTCTAAGTTTGGAATATACCTAAAGCTTGTTCTTGGACACCTGTCTGAAGGAAATAAAATATCAAATTGGACATCAGACTGCAAGCCAAATAAAGAAAAAAATTGGTTTGTTTCTGTTGGGTTAGTTTTTTGGTGGTGACTAAAAATAGGGCTTAGCTGGGATGGACAAGAAAAATAAAGGTAGAGGTATGCAGAAAGGTAAAAGAACGAAGAAGTGAGGAGATGCTTCTTTTCCTTGAGCCAGATGGTATTCACTGGTATTCATGTGTACATGGTGGAGTGACATGCTTCATTATATAGGAGAATTTATGAAGTTGGCTTATAATACAGTTGACTTTTGAAAAACATGGGTTTGAACTTACATACATATTTTTTCAATAAATTTGTACTACAGTACTACATGATCTGCAATTGGTTGAATCCACACATGCAGAACTGTGGATATGGAGGGCCTGCTGTAATGTTATACACAAATTTTCAGTGGTGTGGAAGGTTGGCATGCCTAACCCTTGTGTTCAAGGATCAACTGTATAATACATTTCTTGGATTTTAGAATTATTTTTTCTGGCTTTTGTTTGTGTTATGGAATCTCTTTAATTTTTTGAATTGGGGCTTCTACAGAAATTCAGTGATGTTAAAAAATTATAACTACTTCCTTAATCCCTATCGCTGTCAGAGCTGGACTTTTTGTATGTTTGTGTGTATCCTTAAGCAGTGTATGGGCAGAGAAGGGGGATTTTCTTTTGAGAGTATTTATCCATCTTTTTCTTAAATTTAAACACGAGCCTGAATTAGTGGATACCTCTTATTTGTATGTAAAGGTCAATACAAAGATATTTTATGATCCTCTTATGTATGTTTTCCTCTGTACAGCTAGATGATAGGGCTCACTTTGTACTTGCTCTATTCAGGAATGATTAGCCTGATTCAGTTTTTTTTTTTTTTTTTTGCGGTACGCGGGCCTCTCACTGTTGTGGCCTCTCCTGTTGCGGAGCACAGGCTCCGGATGCCCAGGCTCAGCGGCCATGGCTCACGGGCCTAGCCGCTCTGCGGCATGTGGGATCTTCCCGGACCGGGGCACGAACCTGCGTCCCCTGCATTGGAAGGCGGATTCCCAACCACTGGACCACCAGGGAACGCCCCGAGTTAGTGTTCTTTAAAAAGTGGTTTTCATTTTCTTTGGTAGCCGGACATTGCAAAGTGGCATTTCTGGTGTGGTTTGATTATTTAGACCAGGATTTCACAATGTTGGAACTCCTGATATTTGGGGCTGGATAATTCGTTAGTATAGGGTCTATCCTTGAATTTTAAGATATTTAGTAGAATCCCTGGCCTCTGTCCACTAGATAGTACTAGTACCCCTTTCCCGCAAGTTATGACAGCCATTCCATTCATTGTCAGATGTTACCAACCATTGGTTTAGCCCATGATAGTTTGTCCAGTTATTTATACATTATGTTTTGGTAGAAAACACAGTTCACAGTTCTGTGAATTTGTTGTAATATTTACAAAAACTGTTAAAATGCTTGAAAGAATTCTTAGGGGAATCTTCTTTGATACCTACATATATTTTTCCTGGTTATGATCTAACTAGGAAGTAGGCTCAAAAGGAAAAAAAATTTAAGCAGGTGTGTTTTTAATACAAACACACACACGGAAATGCTCCTCTGCCTTATTTGAAGACTGGTAGATATAAATATTTTAGAAGGAGGCTGGTAGGTATAAATATTTTTGAATACTAGAAATGTTCACTAACAAAAGTAAAGCAGCATGAACAGTATTTCAAGTAAAACCGGTATAGCGCACGATCTTATCACCTCATGAAGGCAGCATCTTTTTTCAGTTATTGTGTATTTATTCAGCTTCTTCAGCTAACTTTTATAGAACTCCCGCTGTGCGCCAGGCACTGTTCTAAATTATGGGAATGCAGAAGTGAACAAAACCGGCTAAAAATCTCTGCCATCATAGAGCTAAAAATCCTAAAAGGGCGTAAGGTGAGTTAGATGAAAAATAGATGATAAGCAAAATAAATACAAGGGTATGTTAGATGATAAGTGCTATGTAGCTAGAGAAGATGTTATGTAGAATTTGTCTGTTGTTGTAGTGATCATTTTGATAATATTAATTGCTTGCATATATTTTTTGAGTTGATATACATGATTTTTCTTAAATAATCCTTTTCTGCTAAATTTAGGTTGTTAAAAATTTCCACCAGTTGTAGTCACAGTAATCTAAAAAACATTAATTCAAGGACTGTTCCAACCAATTATAAAGTCAAAGTACCTGGGCAGTTGGTAATATTATGAAATATCGAAGAGTTCTTATTGGTTGCATTTTAAATTTTAAGTAAAACTCATGTGACTGTGGCCTTTCCTGTAAACATCCTAGAGTTGTGTTATTTTGCAGAGATGGCCAATATTATGATCATAACCTTTTACCAAGAATTTTTTTCCCCAAGAATTAATTTTTAAATTAATTTTAAGAACCTCGAGTAAAATAAAGAATGAAATATAATTGAGTTAACTTTCTCTATTGGAGCAATAAATTATTTTGAGGGTAACTCTGAGAAATTACTTCTCCTAAGTGGGGCCCTCACCAGTCAGGGAGTTGATACAGGCCTAATTTCTGTTAATGAAAACTCACTGACCTAAACACAGGGCCTAGCTTCTGGTAGTTGAAAATTCACTTGGTAAACAGAAAACAATATCAACTTAGAGGAGAAAAACAACTTAGAAGTGGAATTCGTTCTTATTTAGTTCTGTTGATATTGTTGAAATTGTTCTTTTCAGAATGTTAAAAGAAGAAAGTGTGTCTCTTATTCTGTTCCTTCCTTGTTTTTTCTTTCATTCTAATACTATTAGCTCTTTAAATTGCTTCTCATCTTTGCTTATTAGTGGTTGGTGTTGACTGATATTAGCCAGTGCATTTTGACTTCTTAGAGTTGGCACTAATTTGGAAACACAGGTACAGTCATGCAAGAGACAGTATGATGAGAATTTTAAAAAATAGAGTATTGGGGCCAGTGAGTCCTCCAATAGTTGAGGGGTTGTGTACCTTCTCAAATTCTTCCACTTAATAAGTGAAATGCAAAGCCCTAAGGCATTTGGCCTCTAGTAGAGAAAGCGAAGAGGTTTTGTAATTGTTACAGTAAAATGGTTATATGGGTGTAACAATGTGAACCTGGCAAAATATCTGAGCTTTGCTTTTACTTCATTAAAGAAACCCGTCATTATGTTTTGTAGATTATAATAATGAAGATGAATTTGGAAGAAAGTTGAGGTTCCTCTTGCAACAGCTTCCACCTGTTAATTACAGTTTGTTAAAGTTTCTGTGTAGATTTTTAGCCAATGTAGCATCACATCATGAAGAAATTTGGTCTGCAAACTCTTTGGCTGCTGTCTTTGGTCCAGATGTCTTCCAGTAAGTTTTTTCACAAATTTTTGTTTGATTAAAAAATATATATATTTGTGAAATAGAATCATTGTACTGTCTCCCAAGGGTCTTAGGTTGCTTGATGAACCATTATTTTTTATAGTAGATCTGATTAATCCTTCCAGCATTTCTGTGAACAGGGTACAAGTTAGGTAGGCTTTACAGATGGGAAAACTGAGGCACAGAATGATGGCATAAATCGCTCAGGTCTATAAAGTGACTCATTGGTTGTCTTCAAACTTTACCTGTGATTGATTTAAGAACTCTAAATTCAGTTTGGACTTTTATTCTTAGTATTTACACAGATGTGGAAGATCTGAAAGAACAAGAAATAGTGAGCAGGATAATGGCTGGACTTCTGGAAAATTACTATGAGTTTTTTGAGAATGAAGAGGAAGATTTTTCATCTAATGATTTGAGTTCAATTACTGAACAGGTGAGAATATTTAAAATATACTTGGAGCGGGCTTCCCTGGTGGCGCAGCGGTTGAGAGTCCGCCTGCCGATGCAGGGGACGCGGGTTCGTGCCCCGGTCCGGGAAGATCCCACATGCCGCGGAGCGGCTGGGCCCGTGAGCCATGGCCGCGGAGCCTGCGCGTCCGGAGCCTGTGCTCCGCGGCGGGAGAGGCCGCAACAGTGAGAGGCCTGCGCACCGCAAAAAATAAAAAAAAAAAATATATACTTGGAGGGAGTTTTTGTTGTTTTTGCTTTATAAAGAATTTGCTCTTAAGGGCTTGGCCCAAACTTAGGTGGAATTTTTAAGTACTAAATTAGAAGTAATTTTCTTGATTATTATATGTAATCATAGGTGATATATCCATGTAGTATATGAGTGTGATCTTTTTTCTGAACAACTTCTTGTCGTCAATTTGGATATGGAAAAGTAATTGAAACCAGAGTGTATGGTAGAGCTTTTGTGGACGTTTTTGTGTTTTTCTTCTGTTAAATTAAACATTGTTTATTTTGTAAGAATAGTGTGCTTTTGTTTTTGCAAAGAAACTGCTTGCATAGAGGAATGCAGGCAAAGGTTGAGAATTAGAAGGTAGAGAGAAAGGTTGAATACAAAGTTGATAGAAACTTAAAAATGTCTTTCTTGATTGAAGTACCAAGTCAGTATAGCAGTGCAAACATTGTCCTTAATGGGAAGCATCCAAAGAGTAATAGTTTAGGTTACAGATAATGTTTTAAATCTTGTGACTCTCAAATTTAAAACCCATTTCTCAAACAACATTATATTTTGTTGTTACTGCTATGCCTTGATGGTTGAGACTGCAGAAGGATCCTAGTTAGTTTCTTCTTTTTTTAAATTAATTAATTAATTAATTTTTGGCTGCGTTGGGACTTCGTTGCTGCGTGCGGGCTTTCTCTAGTTGTGGCGAGCGGGGGCTACTCTTCTTTGTGGTGCGTGGGCTTCTCACTGTGGTGGCTTCTCTTGTTGAAGAGCATGGGCTCTAGGCATGCAGGCTTCAGTAGTTGTGGCACACGGGCTCTAGAGTGCAGGCTCAGTAGTTGTGGCGCATGGGCTTAGTTGCTCTGCAGCATGTGGGATCTTCCCGGACCAGGGCTCGAACCTATGTCCCCTGCATCGGCAGGCGGATTCTTAACCACTGCTGCACCAGGGAAGCCCCTAATTTCTTCTTTATAAGAAGTGATAATATTGGTTCTGACTAATTGTAAGTGACTGTAAAGCCACATTAATTCAGACTTCTCAGGTTTAGAATTCATGATATAAATCTATCTGGAGGTTTTTCTTTTGTGCTTATGTGAAATGATTTGTCAAGCAGACTTCTATATTAAAAGCTTTGATGTTATATTTTGAGTGTGGGGTGGGGCTGCTGCCTCTTTTTAATGACTAATAATTCACCTGGTTAAAAATAAACAAGGTAAAATACACAGTAAAATGTCCTATTCTTACCCATGCCCACCCTCTTCCTCTCATTGTTTTTTTATGTTTTTCCAGAATTTCTTTATGCAAATATAAGTAAATATTTCCTCTAAGTATTTTTTAACAGGAGAGTAGCATACCATACACACTATTCTGCACCTTATTTTTTAAAATCAGTTAACAGTGTATCATGGTGATTTTTTTTTTTTTTTTTTGTCGTACGCGGCCCTCTCACTGTTGCGGCCTCTCCCGTTGCGGAGCACAGGCTCCGGATGCACAGGCTCAGCGGCCATGGTTCACGGGCCCAGCCACTCCGCGGCATGTGGGATCTTCCCGGACCGGGGCATGAACCCGTGTCCCCCGCATCGGCAGGCGGACTCTCAACCACTGCGCCACCAGGGAAGCCCCATGGTGATGTTTTATTGGAATGTAGAGAACATATTCGTTTTTTTAAACATCTGTGTAGTTTCCTATTGTCTGGATGTAACATATAATTTATTTGATTCATAGTACCTGTATCCACTTGAAAAGGTGATAGTATATCCAGGTTTTCTCAGAGTAGTCTTAGGTTTTTTTTTAGCGGTACGCAGGCGTCTCACTGTCGTGGCCTCTCCTGTTGCGGAGCATAGGCTCTGGACGCACAGGCTCAGCGGCCATGGCTCACGGGCCCAGCCACTCCACGGCATGTGGGATCTTCCCACACTGGGGCCCGAACCCGTGTCCCCTGCATTGGCAAGCGGACTCTCAACCACTGCGCCACCAGGGAAGCCCGTCCTAGTTTATGTTTGCTTTCTAATGTAATTATTAGTTGCTCCTCTTTTCACTCAGATGTATCCAGGTTTAGATGATTAATTATATGGTTATGCTATTTATTGATGGACAGTGGATTACATCCCTTCATTTGTTCTTAAACTATAAAGTAGCATCTCTTGAAAGTTTATCATACAGATTTTCATTCATTCTCATAGGTGTTGGCTCAGATTATGTGAATTAGGAGTTTTATTTCCTGGGTAGCCCGGCTTTTATTTAAAAGGGTTTCTATACTGTTGTGAACTTTTATAGATAAGTCTTTTTAATATTTGGGGGTTATACCTTCCTTAGGTTGGTTGGTTGGTTTTGTTTTTTATTGAAGTATAGTTGATTTACAATATTGTGTTAGTTTCAGATGTACAGCATAGTGATTCAGTTATACATATATTTATGTAGCTATTCTTTTTCAGATTCTTTTCCCTTATAGGTCATTACAAAGTACTGAGTATAGTTCCCTGTGCTATACAGTAGGTCCTTGTTGGTTATCTATTTTATGTATAGTAGTGTGTACATGTTAATCCCAAACTCCTAATTTATTGCGCATCCCCCCCATGGGTAACCATAAGTTTGTTTTCTATGTCTGTGCGTCTATATCTGTTTTGTAAATACATTCGTTTGTATCTTTTTGTTTTTCAAGATTCTACATAGAAGTGATATCACATGATACTTGTTTTTCTCTGGCTTACTTCACTTATGATAATCTCCAAGTCCATCCATGTTGCTGCAAATGGCATTATTTCATTCTTTTTTATGGCTGAGTAATATTCCTGTGTGTGTGTGTGTGTGTGTGTGTGTTTATCACATCTTTATTCATTCATCTGTCAATGGACATTTAGATTGCTTCCATGTTTTGGCTATTGTAATAGTGCTGCTGTGAACATTAGGGTGCATGTATCTTTTCGAATTAGAGTTTTCATCTTTTCCAGATACATGCCCAAGAGTGGGACTGCTGGATCATATGGTAACTATTTTTAGTTTTTAAGGAACCTCCATACTCTTCTCCATAGTGGCTGTACCAATTTACATTCCCACCAACATTGTAGGAGGGTTCCTTTTTCTCCACACCCTCTCCAGCATTTATTTCTTGTAGACTTTTTGATGATGGCCATTCTGACTGCAGTAAAGTAATACCTCATTGTGGTTTTGATTTGCATTTCTCTAATAATTAGCGATGTTGAGCATTTTTTCATGTGCCTATTGGCCATCTGTATGTATTCTTTGGAGAAATGCCTATTTAGATCTTCTGCCCGTTGTTTTTTTTTTTTTTTTTTGATATTGCACTGTATGAGCTGTTTGTATATTTTAGAAATTAATCCCTTGTCAGTTGCATTGGTTGTAAATATTTTCTCCCATTCTGAAGGTTGTCTTTTTGTTTTGTTTATGGTAAGTTTAAGTTTAATTAGGTCCCATTTATTTATTTTTGTTTTATTTCCATTATTCTAGGAGATGAAGCCAAAAAGATACTGCTGCGATTTGTGTCAGAGAGTGTTCTGCCTATGTTTTCCTCTAAGAGTTTTATAGTACCGGTCTTAACATTTAGGTCTTTAATGCATTTTGAGTTTATTTTTGTGTGTGGTGTTAGAGAATGTTCTAATTTCATTCTTTTACATGTAGCTGTCCAGTTTTCTCAGCACTACTTATTGAAGAGACTGTCTTTTCTCCATTGTATAGCCTTGCCTCCTTTGTCATAGATTTATTTTTGTTTCTTTTGGCTGTGTCGGGTCTTGATTGTGGCACTGGGGATCTTCGTTGTGGCACATGGGATCTTTCGTTATGGCGTGCGGGCTTCTCTCTAGTTGTGGTGTGCGGGTTTTCTCTCTCTAGTTGACGCGCACGGGTTCCAGGGCATGTGGGTTCTGTAGTTGTGGCGCATAGGCTCCAGGGCATGTGGGCTCTGTAGTTTGCGTGCTCAGGCTCTCTAGTTGAGGCATGTGAGCTCAGTAGTTGTGGTGTGCAGGCTTAGTTCACGTGTGGCATGTGGCATCTTAGTTCCCTGACCAGGTTTCGAACCTGTGTCCCCTTCAATGGAAGGTGAATTCTTTACCACTGGACCACCAGGGAAGTCCCTGTCATAGATTAATTGACTATAGGTCAGTTCCGTAAGTTTTTTATGTTTTCTTCATGTAAGCATTTTTATCTTTGTCTGACTTTCCTTCCCTCTTTTTCTTCTTCCCTCCTTACCTTCCTTCTTCTCCTCTCTCTCAAGTATCAGAAACTTTTAAGAAAACAGTAAAAGATGCCAAATTGTAACTTACAGTTTATGAGCTGAAGATGAAATCAAATGTGTGTGTGTGTGTGTGTGTGTGTGTGTGTGTGTGTGTGAGGTAAATGAAGTGAGTAGAATTTGTAACCTGAATCAGTGATCCATGAAACTTATGGCATATTTTTTGAAGGTTTCCAACCATCATATACAGTACCTGGCTTAAAAAACTTGGTTAAAATAAAGAACTGACATAGCTGTTCAAAAGTATTTTTGCTTAAAAGAAAATGACAAGAAGAGGACAAGTAGATATATATGCCTTAAACCTTTAATGCTTTTTGATACCCATAAGAAATCCCATCTTTGGGGAATTCTGTGTGCCATCTTTCTTTCCTTTATATTTTAGTTCAGCAGTTTATTTTTTTTAATAAAATTAATGGCTGCTGAAAGTGAAATAATATACATACGTTTGTGTTATTCATTTTCTACTTTTCCAAGATGATTTGACTTGGAAGAAACTGGTGATGCCAATTTGATCTAATGTTTATATCTTGACTCCTCTAGTCTGCAGGGTATATCTTGATTATGTTTTACATTGTGGTGTAATTCTCTGATATTTGTATTATCCTGCAGCTTCCTTATGTAAACTGAAATATATTCATATCTCTCATATATTGCATTTATATTTCTGTTTTTTTTAAATTTTTTATTTCTGTATTTTTTAAGCACTACAAAAACTGACTTAAAATATATTGTGCTTTACATTAAATAGAATGGTGGTTAATTAACACCAGGAAATAATGTTGAATTCTGCAGATTTGCCTGTGAATAGAAAAGAGGATGTTAGCATATTGAACAGAATATTCTCAATAAACATGGTAGTGCAGTGAGTCCTGAGAGACAGTGATGTATATTAATTACCTTGGCTCATGTTGCTAATTGCCAGTAACTATTTTCTTATCTATTTTATTACTTTTTTGAATTATAACTGGGTTGCAAGTAATAGAAGAACAGATTTCTGAAAAGTATTATTTTTAAAGCAGATTTCGTAACTTCATAACTTCACAAGTTAAAACATTTCATAACTTCACAAGTCAAAATTTGACTTGTGAAGCTGAATTGATCAGATATTGAGTGAAAGTAAGATCTCAAACTCAGCACAATTTGGTTGTATTTTAAAGTTGGCATAACTTAAATGCTGCTAATTTGTTATCCACATATTTAAAAAGGTAGGCAGACCTGGTCTATCTCATGGCAGTGCTTTGATTTTTCCCCTGATTTTGATACTTGAAGGAAGCAAAGTTTATTTAGCACTCTCTACTTTTAGAGTTTCATCCCATTAATGCAAGTATTTGGCCTTTAGATCCTTTTCAAGGTAGTAGATTTTTTTTTTTTTTAGTAGTTTGAGAGATGACTGGAGATGTTGAATAGGGAGTGTTTGAGAAATGACCCAGAGTTAGAGAATAGGTTCTTTGTATGGCATCCTTGAATGATTGCAAATCCAGTAGAGTGGTTTGAAGATGTAGGTGATAATTATGTTTCTTTATACGTTTGAGAAGGCAGGTAGCAGCGTTCTCCACAAGCTGGAGTCTGGAGAGCAGGCATTTCACGAGGCCCTAGAGAAGGGAATTACAGCAGTCAAAGAAAGAAGAGATGTAAGTATGGCTGAGGGTTTTCCATAAGTTGAGGCAGCTGCATATATAGGGCAGGTTCAGAATAATTTATGAACAGAATAGAGTGTTGATAAGCAAAAGGTCAAGTTGACAAGAAAAAGATCAAGAAGAATTTTTGAAGATAAGTGTGGGTTGAGAGGGAGAGCATTTTTATATAAGTTTATAATTTTTACTCTTATCCAAACCAATTTAGTCAATTCTTACTGCAGGAAGTTAAACTGGAAGGCCTGGGGGGATGGGAGGTGGGGGTGGGAAGAAAAATCCATAGGCCATAGACTTTGTTCATGTCATATCTTAGTTGATGGTTTCTGGTGAAGATACTAGGGAATGTCAATTAATTTACATAAAGCTTATTGAATCGAATATAATATGTTCAGTATAATTGAGTATAAAGCATTTATAGTTACTAAGAGCTATTGACTGTAGGCATAAACTGATTTTAAAATGTGTAATGTAACATGTTAAAATTGCAGTACTTCTTTACGAAATATTTGTGTACTGAGTAAATATTCATCTATTCTCAGTTTAAATAGCCGTCTTAATTTTTTTTTTTTTTAATATTCTACTCTTGCGCCCAAACCTGAAAATGATATTTTCTTGCCGGTTTTTTTTTTTGGCTTGGATTACCAGGTAGCTATTGATTAAATACATTCTTGATTTTCACTAATTTATTAAATACATAGATAGAGAAAGAGAGTAATTTTCCACTTGATCCCGTTTAAAAACTGACCTATCATTTGAAATTTTCACCTTTGTGTATAAATCTTACCTCTCAGTAAATAACCACTTAGGCTAATGATTTTCAGTACTCATTGATTAGGAATTTGTAGAGTATCACAGTGTAATTACCTTTCTTCTGGTTGAAGTTTTCATTTCTGAGAGTCCTCTAGCAACTGTATTTGCCTGTGTGTAGGAAAAGCACCACTGTTACACGTAGCAGTAAATTTATTCTAGGTATTGCCAGCACATTTGGCTAGGATGGACAAAAGTACATGTTTACTGCTTAATGTTTTTAATGACTAGTGTTAATTTATAAAAAATGTTAAGACCATTTATGGCTAGTTTCTTCTATGGTATAGCTTAACAAATGTTTCTCATTTGAAAATATTTTATTGGTTTTCGTTCTCAGATATTTGTGTCTTTTTATTAGAGTGATTGTTTACTTATGTAGCCAATTTGATAATAGAAAATGTTTTATAGCCCCTGCCAGAAAGAGAATTATAACCTTGAGTTGTGCTTAATGGTCAAAACAGTGAGTTCTTTCTTGTTGTAAGGTCCAGTCTCTTCATGAAGAATTCAGTCTGAATCATTTAGAAGTTAGCTGTCATTTTCTAATGCATAGTTAAGACCGTAAGGCAAAATTTCTGTGCCCTTCTTTTTTCACACTTATTCTATATTAAAATCACTTGTTCAGTGCACTTGGAAATTGGAGAGATCAGTTGAAGTCTTTGTTGTAGCTGTTAGGTTTACAAATCTGATTGGTTAGAAAATGAAGCTTTCTTAATGTTAATTAACTACAGCGTGCAAACTTTTTCATAGTTTGCAGTCTTATTCATATTCCTAGTGATATAGTAACGTAATCATTACTTCCTGCTTTAAAATGTTATATTTGGTTTGATATTTTACTCTAATATGGGGAAGTTGGCAGCTGTTTACTTTGTGAGAGAAATTGGTCCCAGGAAATGAAGTGAAAAATGAGTTGTATTTAAATTTTTCTTAGAATAGTATGTCTTTCTTAGAATAGTATGTCAGTTAACAGTTTCATTAAATTTTAATTCTCATTTAATTCTATCTATATAGGTTCATGAACTTTCTGAGGAAGAAGAGGAAGATGAAAAGCTGGAACATACAGAAGAACTTCCAGAAGAGGGTGCAGAAAAATCAGATGACATGCCAGAGGTGGTACAGTTAAGGATGACTGAAAACATCCTGGAACCAAATAGTGTTACAGCATCAACAAGGTAGTATTTCAGTTGAAAGGACTTTAGGTTTGAGCATTTCATTCTAGATGTAAGTTCACCCAAGCACTAAATCACACAGATTTGTAATGGTATATGAAAGATTAGTTTGTATATGAAAAAGAACAATAAGAAAATTTTAAAGAAGCAACCTCATTAAGGAGTTTTCAGTTATTAGCGTTTATACCTTTCTTTAAAAATATAACCTCTTAAGTATATTTCCTCTTAAAGTTTATTTGTTTTTTTATTATTAGTGTATTAGTTGGGTTGGGTAAAATTTCAGAACCTTTGGAAGTAGAATTGCTAGAGAAAAATACAGTGGTTTAGTTGACTATATTTCCAGGTCCTAGTCTAGAACTAGATTGAACTAGGCTGTAAGGAGAGGACTCTGTGATCCTTTAAGATAGTGCTTTCCAATCCTTTCCATGTATATAAAGTGATATTTATAGGGCATACTGGGTAAACTTTTTAAATGTGGTAAGCTGGAGGCACTATCCTAGCACATAGCTGGGACTATTGGACACACTGTTCAGGAAGCATTAGAGAATTTAAGAACTCCCTGTAGGTAGCTCTAGGTTTGCTGAATTCTGTCCTTACTTTTCTGTAAAGCTCCATGTTTTTCTAATTAGGGGGACAGTTATTTGTTTAGGCCACTAGATATTTTTCATTAAATTTGTGTTCAATAGAACGGTGGTTAAGAAAGCAGAGGAAATAATTTAAGAGTCAGACAGCAAAATGTCATTTAAAAATAAGTAGTAATTTAAGGGAAGAACTATTCAGTGTCATTTAGAAAAATTATAAAGTAGTTTAAAATGTATACTTCTAAATACAACTATTACATTTCTCTGTGGCCCTCTAGATTTTTATATTATGTATAGTTTCTTCAGACATGATTATAGTTATGGTATATTAACAAGTTTATTCACTCTTTTGCCCCGATTTAGCTTTTTGTTTGTGCTTTTCTATGTTTACATGACATTCTTTACTATATTTTAGTTATATATTGCAATATTTATAAGCTATATGTTAAATTATTTAACTGTATCTTAATTATATATTTACTGTCATTCTTTTTTCTGAACTTTGAGTTATTCCACCTACCTTGTCATTGCTATACTACTATACAACCTTTGTTCTTGGGTCCTTTTTTCCTTCTTTTGACTTATTTGGATAAATTTATTAGGCTCAAAGAGTAAATTTTTCTATGGCTTTTGATAAGTATTTCCAGACTACTTAAAAGACTTGGCCCATTTTGCATTACCATTAGCAATATTTTCTTGAGCACCTGAAAACAATAGATTTAAATTGGTGTTCTTTATTTTGTTAATTTATAGAGTTATGCCCTCCAATAAGGTAACCATTAGCTAGCTACATGTGGCTATTTAAATTTAAACTTAAAACAATTAAAATTAAATAAAATTTAAAAATCACTTCCAGGGACTTCACTGGTGGCGCAGTGGTTAAGAATCCGCCTGCCAGTGCAGGGGACACTGGTTCCATCCCTGGTCAGGGAAGATCCCACATGCCACGGAGCAACTAAGCCCGTGCGCCACAACTACTGAGCCTACGCTCTAGAGCCCACGAGCCACAACTACTGAAGCCTGTGCGCCTAGAGCCCATGCTCCGCAACAAGAGAAGCAACCACAATGAGAAGCCTGTGCACCACAACGTGCCCCCGCAGCTAGAGAAAGCCCATGCAGCAACAAAGACCCAATGCAGCCAAAAATAAATAAATAAATTTATTTAAAAAAAAAATCACTTCCACAGTTGTACTAGCCACATTTCAAGTGCTCAATATAGCCATATATGATTTGTGGTTACCATATTGGACAATGCAGATATAGAGCAATTCTATCATTGTAAAAATTTCTTTTGGATAGTGCTGATTTAGAGAGCAAATTCTTTAACTATTTTTATATATTTAATTACCAGCAAGGTTAAATATTGTTTCAAATGCATGATGCCAATAGTTTCTTCTTCTTGATCATCTATCTGTCTAGCTTTGTAGAGGATCCTCCTTCCCTCCAACACAGTCATTTTTTTTTTTTTTTTTTTAATTTATATTTGGCTGCATTGGGTCTTTGTTTTTGGGTCTTCATTGCTGCACATGGCTTTCTCTAGTTGGGCTAGTGGGGGCTACTCTTTGTTGTGGTGGCTTCTCTTGTTGCAGAGCTCAGGCTCTAGGTGTGCAGGCTTCAGTAGTTGTGGCTCACAGGCTCTAGAGTGCAGGCTCAGTAGTTGTGGTGCATGGGCTTAGTTGCTCCGTGGCATATGGGATCTTCCCAGACCAGAGCTCGAACCTGTGTCCCCTGCATTGGCAGGCAGATTCTCGACCACTGTGCCACCAGGGGAGTCCCAAACACAGTCATTTTTAGATGGAATCATTAGAGATTGGTGGTCATCAGGATTCCGTAATTGAAAGTTGTAGAAACAGATCTTGGTTAATGGAAAGAAAAAAGATAATTTATTAGAAGAATGCTGGATAGGTCCCAGAGTTGAAAGGAAAAGCAGAGAGAAGAACATGGCAGCTTTGGAGAGTTTAGTAACAGAGGGTCATGGAAGAATCTCTTCAGCATGTGGCTGTTGCTGTGAGATTTCCAATTACTTCTTTTCATCTGTCATTCTGCTCAAGACCAGATTCCTGTGGGGTAGCAGAGGAGAAGGTCTGGCCTAAATTGGGTCATGTGCTCATTCCTGGCCAGGGTAGAGCTGGGTCATTGTAATGTATGCATGTACCAAGAGCATTGGATGGAGGGAGGAGCTAGTTTGCCATAGAAAAATGGGGCTAATACCAAAAGAAAGGGATAGGGATATGAGGCAACAAAAATAGATGTGTCTGTCACAGTGGTCTTCTAAATTTAATGTTGATATCTGTAAATTTCAGTTAATATTTATACATTTAACATTTTATTTTAATTTTGGCTGATTGGTTGCATAAAGGTAAAAAATACATTCTTTGATATCCACCTTTGATGAAAGAAAGGTAGGGGAGAAATATCCTAGAATGCACAGGGTCTAGAAAATAGGGAGTGCTTAATAAATTCATTTTAGGGAATTAGTGGATACTGTATTACATGAAACTAGAGATTGAACTTTTGCTAACTTAATGTTTTGTCTCTTTGAGTTTTTCTTTCAGGTTGCTCGCAAACATTTTATGGAATTATTAGGTAGCCTACTTTGTATTTCTGTGGGAAGATATATTAGAAACCTAAGGGAAATAAACATTAAGTGACAGTTTAGCAGTTCTCAAACATTTTGGTCTCAAATGTTATACTCTTAGAAATTATTGAGGACTCCGAAGACTTTTGTTATGATGATTTTATACCTCTGGTTATTTACCATATTATAAATGAAAACAACATATTTAAACTGCTGGGAATGTTCTTTGTTGAGTTGTACTTTGGAAGATGCTTAGTATTTGTAGCTGAAATATAGCTATTTATGATCTAACAGGTTGTTTTGTTGGTAGGTTTCTCCTCCTCTATAGTTTTAATTCATCGATTCTCGAACTTTTTGGTTTAATTTGAGGACTACAAAGAACTTTTGTTACTGTGGGTTATAGCTATTGGTGTTTACTCTATTAGGAACCAAAACTGGGAAATCTTTTTTAAAGTAGTAATGAACTCATTACATGTTAATGTAAAATATTTTAATCAAAAGTAACTTTTGGGCTTCCCTGGTGGCGCAGTGCTTGAGAGTCCGCCTGCCGATGCAGGAGACGCGGGGTCGTGCCCCGTTTCGGGAAGATCCCACGTGCCGCGGAGCGGCTGGGCCCGTGAGCCATGGCCACTGAGCCTGCGCGTCCGGAGCCTGTGCTCCGCAAATGGGAGAGGCCACAACAGTGAGAGGCCCGCATAACGCAAGAAAAAAAAAAAAAAAAAAAAAAAAAAAAAAAAAAAGTAACTTTTCCAGAATCTCAAAAATTTTTAGTGAGAAATTTTTTAGTGGCATTGTTTTACATTTGTACAAATCTCTTTAATGTCTGGCTTAAAAGATGGTAGCTAGATTCTCACATTTTCTTTTGCATTTAATGTGTTGCCATATGTTATTTTGGTTGAAGTAATGTGAAGACAGTCTAGCATTACACAAGTATGTAGTTGGAAAATGTAGAGAATTTTTATAGCCTTTTCAGATAATTGTGGATATTCTTCTTTGACAATACACCAAAACTTGGTAAGTGGTAGTTTCTTAAAGGTTATTTGTAATGTGGGACCTGAAAGCATATCTGAATTTTTCGTACTCTGATCCATCAGTCTGTTTTGTACTTTGAGAGAATCTTTTAGCCATGCTTAATTTTGTGATACGGTATACTGGTTATTTGGAAAATACTGCCTTACTGAGTTATTCAGAGCTTCCAAATAGTGATATATTCTGTTATATAATATCAAAATGTATATTCTTTAATATCATTATTGATTGTGTCAAAATATCTTTAAGTATTGGGATGCTATTGAGCTTATGGTAGAGGATACAGGTTTTCCAGAATTCTCATTTTTGCTTGAAAACCCAAATTTTATCAGTACTGTTAGTCTTGCTCATTTTTGAGAAAATTTCTGCCAGATATTCAGGTTGGAATAGCCATAGTCTGTCAGTCAGTCTTTCAAGTAAAAATGAGTATTCCATGGTAAAAGTTCATTTCTCAACTCAAACAAGACAAGCATTGTACTAAGCTGTGCAGCAGAGTTGCTTTGTGTATACTTCCTATTTGTCACACAAAATATTAAAAAGAAGTGTACTCAAGGGCTGAGATAAAATTAATAATATGTATTACTTCTTCATCAAGGACTGGCTCCTTTTTTTTTTTTTTTTTTCTTGCGTTATGCGGGCCTCTCACTGTCGTGGCCTCTCCCATTTGCGGAGCACAGGCTCCGGACGCGCAGGCTCAGTGGCCATGGCTCACGGGCCCAGCCGCTCCGCGGCATGTGGGATCTTCCCGAAACGGGGCACGAACCCGCGTCTCCTGCATCGGCAGGCGGACTCTCAAGCACTGCGCCACCAGGGAA